ATATATATATTCAGAAATCTCTTTTATCTCACAGCGAACAGAAATCAAACTATCAAAGGGTAAATACGAAGAGGAAGATCTGGAAGTGGGCCCAGAGATTCAGTACAGAATAAGGACGGTTGGTTTGTACCTGGTGGTAGAATCTAAAATTGGTGTGGCGGTGATGTGGGATCGCAAAACGACTGTCCGCATCCTGCTGGAACCACAACACAGCGTGAGTCAGAGTAAACATTTTTTTTCTGATGACTGAAACCTCTTACTGTAAGAACTGTTTATTTTATTTGTTCATACAATTAGTTGTTTTGTACCAATGCAACGTGCTAGTTGGGGTAATGAGCTGGTGACTCCTGTGTGTGTGTTTATGCAGGGTGAGGTGTGTGGCCTGTGTGGGAACTTTGATGGGGATGGCCAGAATGACTTCACCACTCAGGGTCAGCTGGTGGTGAGCAACCCACTGGAATTTGGGAACAGCTGGAAAGTGTCCAGCACTTGCCCCGATGTGGAAGAGAATGTCGATGCTTGTGAAGCAGCTCCCCAACGACATCACTGGGCCAAAATAATGTGCAGCATCATAACAGGAAACACATTCAAAGACTGCCACCACAAGGTGAGAAACGGCTGTGACTTAGAAAGTTGTGCGATTTGCCTTAGTAAACACATATTTTATAACTCACTTCTCATTTTTTTGTAACTGAAACAGGTTGATCCGCATCCATTTTATGAAAACTGTGTGAAAGACTCATGTGCCTGCGACACAGGAGGAGACTGTGAGTGCTTCTGCTCAGCTGTTGCAGCGTACGCTCAGGCCTGTAACGAGGCCGACATTTGCGTTGCGTGGAGAACTCCAGACATATGCCGTAAGTGAACATTTTTGCTCTTAAATTATGTTTTTAACTTTTTCTAACAGAACCATTTTTGAGAGAGCTTTCTGTTGAGCTAAAATATTCTTTCTTTGCTGTAGATAGCCTGTTCAACAAACATAGACACTCTTGCGTTTTTTAAGAAATTCAGATAAACTTTATTAAACTTTAAGTTTTCATGGAAAAACATGCTTAGAAAACATTTTTATCCACCATATTCCTTAAAACGTACATAAGTTTTGACCCACCCAGGAAAGACAGTATGTAAAGCACCAGAGACTTGTCCTGAGGTCAGAACTGTGTTGAATTAACCATGTATGCATGCTTCATTTCATGGGGTTCTTGAAGTTGTGTATGTAAATACAGTGAGTCAAAAGACACAGGACACTGAAAATGACATACCTGAATACCACAGTAAGTAATGTGGGAGGGGGGCCTATTTTTTAGGCTATGTCCAGAACATGGTCGCCATCCCAAAAGCCACCATACACAACCATTCATGATGAGTCAAAAGTCCTGTGACTTTTGACTCATCATGTATTATATTTCAACTCCCAATTCGAATGCTGTAGTTCAGTTTTTAATATATGAAAATTTTAAAAGAGGATTTTTTTTTTGTATGCTTCCGAGCTGTTGTTACCAAACTTATCAGTTTTTGACCCACAAAATCAAAGTTACATAGACTTGGGACTCCAACAGTTGCTGGGTCAAACATCCAAACATTGCTCATAAGCCTTTTTACATAGACCTTTATGAACTAATTTTATATGTATATTTTTAACAATTAGGGGTAAATATGTAATTAAAAATCATTTTAAAGTTAGACATTCCCTAGAATCCCTGCTTCCCGACCCAAAGTGAGATCCCAGCTTTAGGAAACAACTGCTTTAGAGAATAAATTTCAATGATTGTCAAAAAAATCATGTAAATTAAAGATACTCTTTTGCATTGTCTATAAGTGTTTTAATGACATGTAGAGTAAATCATAATTTCCACAATTATGCTCTGCCTAAAGTAAACTTGTGCTTGTACTGTGTGATAACACTGGATTTGATTTGGGTTTTTCTAAGTGAAAAAAGCATGTATTTATGCATTCACAATTTCATTTGTACTTAACATATGCTGTCTTTCTCTTTTGCAGCTGTGTTTTGTGATTACTATAACAACCCAGACGAATGTACATGGCATTACAACCCTTGTCACACACCCTGCTACCAGACTTGTTTATATCCAGAAGGAATTTGTAGCAACCCAATTCCAGACCTAGAGGGTAAACACTTCACTACAAACATCCTGATTCACTTATCTGAAAACAAAAATGTCCTCTTAAACAATATTAGTGTTTGCATGTGATTCTTTCCATCACAGGCTGTTATCCTGTATGCCCAGAAGACAAGCCTATATTTGATGAAAAGAATCAAACTTGTGTAGATATATGTCCTTACTGTGTTTACAATGGAACAATATACGAAGAGTATGAAGTTATTTACAATGTCAACGACAACATGGGAACATGCTACTATGCAATATGCATTAATTCAACTGTGGTAGAAGAAAGTGAACCCTGCACTACAAGCCCACAACCACCAACTTCACCATCCACTACAACTCCTGAGCCAACAACAACTACAACTGCATCTACACCATCCACTACAACTCCTGAACCAACCACAACTACAACTCCATCTACACCATCCACTACAACTCCTGAACCAACCACAACTACAACTCCATCTACACCATCCACTACAACTCCTGAACCAACCACAACAACTACAAATCCATCTCCACCATCTCCACCAACTCATCCATCCACTACAACTCCTGAGCCAAACACAACAACTATAACTCCATCTCCACCACCCACTACAACTCCTGAACCAACCACAACTACAACTCCATCACCACCATCCACTACAACTCCTGAGCCAACCACAACAACAACTCCATCTCCACCAACCACTACAACTCCTGAACCAACCACAAC